TTCTTCTGTTGAACCACATTTTGTCACCTCAAGTCTGTTCTTCATCTGTAAGGAGATTGTCCAGCATTCACTGCTATACAAGACAGATATTATATAACAGTTCAGTTGACCTGGTATCTCCATTGCGGTCGCTTTCCAACCACTGTAACATAACTTCTCTGTGGCATTTCTATAAATATTTTTATGACAATTGTTCTGATGAGCTTTCCTCTTTGGTACCTAAATTTAAGTGCAGTACTAGATTGGTAGCAAGGTCTCACCATTTTACAGTTGAAATAGCTACATGTAACTCTAAGTTCAATGCTAACAGTTTTTTCTGCCATACTTCTCACTTGTAGAACTCTTTTCTGGCTTTTTGCTTTCCAGTCAACTTTGATCTTCAAAAATTTAAATTCAATATCAATCATTATCTTCTATGTTCTTAATTCTTCTTCTTTTATTGTTCTCTCTTCTAAATAATATTTTCTATTTCTCATATTCTTTTGCAATCAGTAACCCATTCCATCTTAGTGGCTTTATTATCTTACTTAGGAATTAATGACTTAAAAACATGTATATTTTCTAACAAGATTTTCCTGTTTCTTAATACTTTGCTTAGCTTTTAGGAGGCACACTCCAATACACAAAAATGTGTTTCTATATGTTGACCAAAATAGTTCCTTTCTTAAAATGGTGTGTGTGAGTATTTGTGGTGAAGTGGGGGCTTAGTTTCTTTAAAACTTCCATGTTGCTCACATATTCAGTTCACAGTATTCTCAGTATCCTTCTGTGGAACCACATTGCCTCCAGTTGCTTCTTTATCTGTGATGTGATTGTCTTTTCACTGTCATATAGAAGGGCTGATATTACATAGAAGTCCAGTACTCTTTTCTTTGTTTCTCATGAAATTTTCCTGTTAATACTTTGCTTAGCTTTTAGAAGACATATTTTACTATTCTAACATGGCTTCCATATTCTGCCAACTATTTATATTATATGTCCCAGAATTTTCAACTATCTCCTGCTGATTCTAAATACAAGTCACTTTTTGTTTCCATTTTTCTTAAATCTTTGTTGCTACTCATATGTTCCATCTATAGTATTCTCAGGGTCCTTCTGTAGAACCACATTTCTGTTATCTCAAGCAGCACCAGTGGATACTACCCCACCTGGCCAGGCTGAGGCAAGCCTGATTCTGCCACCCTAGACAGTATGCTTTGTGATCCTCTCTATTTTATCAACATTTGCTTTTTTAACCTACATCTATATACGTTACAAATGAAACTAAGCACAACTATTAAACGATGAAAAGTTTTTGTGGATTTTCTGTCATTTTAGGGGGTTTTTTTTGTTCAAATCTGTGAATTTGTTTTGTTCTTGTTAAGTCTCAAAAACAATGCTATATAAAATTAACTATTTTTATTCCATAATGTTGAATGTGTTAAAATTCTTCAGCATTTTAACAAGAAAAATCTCAAGTTGATGCTAAAAATCTCTGCAAAACATTGTTGATTTACTTAACATGAAATGATCTATTATGGCATGTCTCTAATTGGCATTTAGATATATTGTATTAATTTTCAATTTTTCTAGTAGAGTGGGGTAGGCTGTATCATAGATTTGGGTAGGGGCCCACAAGAACCTTGCACTGACCCAGACCTCAAGTCTCTTCTTCATCTATGAGGAGATTGCCCACCATTCACTGCCATATAGGAGGACCAATATTGCATAAGAATTCAGTCCTCTTTTCTTTGTTTCTAATGATATTTTTCGGTTTTGTATTACTTTGGTTATACACAATTAATTTCTGGCATTTTCTGTGGTTTGGCAATGGCCATATCAGAATACCGTCCTGGGTATGATGATAAACTACATTTGCATCCTGGGTAAGATTATAAATTATGTCCAACAGCAAGGCCTCTGATGAAGAGGTTTCAAGAAGCATGGAAATTGTTGGCTTTCGCAGGTCCACCCTGACTCAGGGTGGTAGCACCTGTTAGGGTTCCAGCTATGGGCAAATAGTTGACCCCCCAAACTGGGGTAGAAACACTATGAAAGTGTAAAAATAGGTTTTAATACCAGAAATACTCTGTAAAAATATTATTACCAGTAATAAATTTTTGAAGAAAAAATTTATTACCAGCAATACACTTATGAAAAAAATATTACCAGAAATAGATGTTTTTGAAGGAAAAAATATTACTAGGTACACATTTTTGAAGAAAAAAAAGTACCAGTAATAAAAATCTTGTTGGCATAAAATAACCCATTGAGGTTGATATGCTGTAAAACAAACCAAACCAAACCAAACCAAGTCAGAATGTTGCAGGCGGAGTATTTGCTCACAAATAGATATTGAATGACAGAAGACAACAAACAAAATGTAGACTTGAGTAAAAAATATATAGACTAGTTTATTTTTGCTAAATAAAAGTACATAAACAAAAATAATGTTAGCATGAACTTGGCAAAAGATAACTCTGCAAGCTCATGTAGAAGGTTAGAAATAGCATTGTCCTGAGAATGACAGTTTTGGTAATCACCAGAGAGTGTTGTCCTGAAAAGGACAGTTTATTGAATATCATTGCTGCTGGCAATGATGGCTAGAGAATGAAGCCTGTTGAAGCTAGAGCAGCAGCAACTGGAAGCCTACTGGAGATGAAGGCCTACTGTAGATGATGATGGCTGATGTTGCTGATGGGCTGCTACTGGAACAGATACTACACTTTGATACTCACCACCTTAACCACAAAAAATGATATTTACCTGTTACCTCCTCACAAGGCGGGATGTGACATGAGGCTGTTTTTTCATTTGGGACTTTCCAAGCCTATAGGATTGGGTAAAAATTCTTCATGAACTCTATATACACGGGGTCAGGTAGCTGTCTATCTCCCCAGATGAGACTCTGCGTTTCAGCATAGCTTCATCTGGGTTCCTCTCCTCCCAAAGCCAGAGAGGTTGACAAGCTGTGTTTCAAAACCCAGAGATTTGGCAACAGACAAAAAAAAAAAAAAAACATGGAAAACATATTTTGTGGCTCTTGAGGCTTCATTATATCCTGAACCAGTATTACACCAATGCTGGTTAAGCTTTTTCTTCCAGTTGCTTTTAAAAATGTGGGAGTGCTGACAGGATACAAGAAGAAGGTGACTGGATTAAGTATTTATAACACGACTGTTGCTTTTAGGCAAATCAGGAATTATTCTTTAAAGATTACACACGCACACACAATATGTCCAGCTGTCATGTCACATGACTTAACATCTGGACTAAACTCTTTGCTTATAATCAAATACAAACAGGGCCTTGACTGAGAGAAGTTTCCATCAACAAGTATCGGAGCTTTGCATTGTGGATTGACCTACACAAATGCAAGACACATTAAGCACACCTGTTGCAACTGAATAAATATCCAATATAATGTTGAAATAGGACAGTCCACTCAACATACGATTAATGGTGAGCAGTAATAGTTATAAAAAACAAAATACAGGTAGGAAATATAAGAGACATCATTAAGAAAACTAGCCTTAAAATCACTAATACTGAATTCTTTTACTCTTAATAGATAAGAAAATAATAATTATGACTATTACTACTACTATTACAAGGACGTGTAGGTGGTAATGGATATCAGCTAATAATGAGAAATTGAAGTGCTCAGTTCAAATCTAATTCACTTATGTGCAAATACCCTTGGAAAAGATATAAACGCATCTCCTCTCCAGAGCTGAGTGCTAAATAGTAGAACTTGCATCTGGAAATGTCATTGTTATTCTCCAAAAATTACTAATGCAATATTCACTTGTAAAAAATAAAAAAATAATTATTCTTATAAAATCCAAAATATATTTCAGCTTTATATACCTTACAAGGGGTTGATAAACTGTAAAAAAACAATGAATCATTCAATTACTACTACTACTTCTTCTTCTCAGTCTGTGAAATAAATAGGGCAAAAAATAATATAAAGCAAGCAAACAATAGATGCAAAGCAAATTAACAGTAATATGGCAAAAAAGTTCACAAACTAAGTATTGGCATTGACACACAGAAGCAAGTTTGAACAAGTAAACTTAGCATTCTGACAAAACAGACTGGGACTGAGTCAGATGAAACCGAGAACTGACCTATTTAATTAGCTAGGAAAAAAATCCCAGCATGCATTTTTGTGCTTCTGCCAATAAATTAGGGAGGGGAAAAGTATTTTGCAATGATTCCCACTTGGATTGGAACCAACAAAGAAGTTCCATTTACATAGCTTCTTCCCAAGAACAGACCTCCAAGTGGATGTTTGCCTCATTGGTACAATCTTAACCTTTTTTAACTCTAATCAAATATCATCTTTTCTATATATCCTCATAACCTGCACTTTTTACCTACTCTTACATTCATATAACAACCTCATTCAGTAACCCTTTACTCTGAGTGGCTCTTAGACCTTGGGTGATCAATTAGTGTAAAAATAAGACTATAAATCTTGTTCTTCTCTCCATATCTATAGCTTAAATAGAAAGAATTGTATCTGAAAAAAAATCATTGTTATCTCCAAAACATTGTTAATAAAATATTCACTCAGAAAAAAGAATGTTTCTTATAATCCAAAATAGGTTTCAGCTTTAAATAACCAACAAAGGGTTGATAAACCATAAAAATAAAAATCAATGAATTAATACTTCAATGACTATAACTCTTGTTATGAAGACTCTGTTGAAGAGTTTAATATGACACTTTTTCACTGATAAAATTTCCGAGTATGAATTACTACTACTACTACTTCTCAGCCTGTGAAGGTACTTTGTTGGATGAAGGCCTTCTCTAGATTCATGGGGAGGAGGAATGGACCATTGCCCTACCGCACAGACTCAATACGTGTTGGTAAATGTGACACATCTGGGTAAACATGTCTCTTTTTGATTCATGATCGCCCAAGTGTATTTGTGCATAAATGAATGTAAGTTGAGTTCAAGCTTGGCTCTCCAAATTCTCATTCGATTATACTTCCTGTATATTCAAGCTCACAACACTTGGTATTCCCAAGTGGTCACCCATCTAAGTATTGACCAGGCTCAACATTGCTTAACTTCAGTGACTGGAAGAGAACTGATATTTAAACATGATATGGTTGTAAGCGCTATTATCTCTATCTATAAAAGGCAGGATGTGTGTGTGTGTGTAACGAATGCATGGCCGCAATTTTCACCAAAATTTACATGCACATGCTCCAAGTTAGTTGGAAGGCATTTACCAACTCCCATCGATAGTGGAAATAATTGATTTTTTCATGCTTCTACGGCAGTTTTCATGTAGTTTGCGGCAAAGGGCACTCCTTTCAAGGCAAGGAAGGGCAAAAATATTTTAAGTCAAGTGATAGCGATTGCTGTATGAGTCGTACGATTTTTGAATCAAGCACGGGCAATGCTGCTAGTTAATAATAATTATAATGTCATTGTTGTAAATATGGTGTAACTGATTTGGCACCACTGTAAAAAAGAAAAGAATACTGAGCTATTACATGACATGGCAGTGAATGTTGGACGATTTTCTCAAAGATGAAGAAGGGATTCGAGGCAATGGTGATGTGGTTCTACAGAAGGATGCTTAGGATATCATGGACCGAGTATGTGAGCAACAATGAGGTTTTAGAGAGGATGCAAACAAAGAGGAGGCTTATACTTAACATCAGGAAGAGACAGCTGATGTCTCTCGGACAGATCATGAGGAAAGAGAGACTGGAGAATCTGATATTCATAGGTCGAATAGAGGGAAAGAGAGACAAGGGAAAATAATGCATGACTTACCTGGCGGGCTTAAGCAAGTGGATGACAGAATGTGGTCTGGGGGAGGAAGCAGAGGGAAGGAGCTGCAAAGGATAGAGGGAGGTGGAGAGCCATGATCACCTAGGTCCTGAAAGGACATGGCACATAAAAAGAAAGTTGGGCACCGAGTTAGGATCTATATTGCAGCAACCGTTATCATCTGTGAGACTAGATTGTTCCATGACAATTATTATATAATTATTATAATGTTGTTATTGTTGCAAATATGGTGTTACTGATTTGGCACCACTGTTGGGCACCCAGTTAGGATCAATTTTGCAGCAACCATTATCATCTGTGAGACTAGATTGTTCCATGACAAACATTACATTGTTGCTGAGATGTGAAATCTGTGGATAGGTGTGAAAAGTTGGTAGGTCACCAGTATGAATAGTTGTTGAAGTATGTGATGTATATCAGAAACATAGGACATAAAACAACTAGAGCAAGGTATAAAGTAAATAACATATTTTTATTTATTTTCTTTACAGTGAGTCCTTTGGTATTCAGTGTAGCAAAATATTTGCTTATAAGGCAGATATTGGTAGTAGCTTTGAATAAATATCTGGAGGTGGTAGCTTTTGAAGTCAGACCTTGTTAGGAATAATAGTAATATTAGAAATAGGTCAGTGTCAATCTACTGTGTTTTTCTCGGTCACAAGCTAAGCAGAAATATTATTAGCAAATGGTTTCTTAACTACTTCATCAAGTATCATGCATGGCTGCATTGTTTTGTTCCCTCCTCTCCTACCATCCTCCTGCTTCTAACTCAGAGGTGTCAGCTTACAACCTTATGACCAGGCTCTGAGACTTTGACATGAACATTGTTTTCAGCTAACATCAAAAGTCTTTTTGTGTCAATTTTTTTGATTGGCCAAATTTATTTTATTTTCTGGCATTCTTTTTTTTTTCATTTTTTTTATAATGGAAGTTATGCATGGAGCCTCCCTGATTTTTGGTACTTTTCAGTCACAAATATGTCAGCGCTGTTCCTGCAAACTTCCAGTGTTTTTGGCTAGCTTCAGTCTTTTTTTCTTTCTCTTTTTATTTGGGGATTTCCTTCTCATTATTTGAGAGAAGTATAGAAAGAGAAGTTTATTATACTGGGGAACATTTTGGTTTTTACAATAGCTGCTCTCAAATTTGATGGGCTGAGTTGAGAAATGCACTCAGAAATTCTCTATAATGTCAAGTTGTCATTTTTTTACCAAAATAAACTGTCAATTTTACCATTAAAGACAATACTGAAATAAGCAACTAACACAAATCAAATAGTACATATAAGTGTTCATTGCTCAAGTTCTCTCAACATTTCTACTTTAGGGTGACTCAGTTGTCAGGGGTTCATTCTAGGAGAGGTACTGCTTGTGGAGAATGGCCTCTTGGAGCTGAGCATAAAAATAAGTATAAACCTACATAAAAATGTGGGTTGAATTTGTCCATGTACCCACTCCAATGGAATATGCCACAAGGTCAAGTTTAAAGTAAAAATTCTATGTATATGCGACTGGGGTCAAAAGTACTCAGCTCCCTTGGAATCTCCCTTTTAGGGACACTTCAGGTGTCAGGGATTAACCCTAGTACTCCACCTTAGTAGAGGTACTGCCTGGGGCTGACCTAATAATCATTGTAAATCCACATAAAAACACAAGTTTATTGTCTTATATCTTATCCAACTTGCTTAATTTCTTGCTTAATATAGACAACTAATTTTTATATTTAGTTTTAAAAAATCAAATTTTAATAAACATCATTATTTTCTTATCTGACATTCTATGATTTTTATATATAACATTGGGAAACATTTAAAAAAAATTTTTTTAATTATCTTACTTTTTAGAATTGTTTCTACATATTAGGACTTTGAATATGTTCTGACGGTTTTCCAACAGATAGTGTTCCCAGAACTGCATGTGTGTAGTTTCAGACGGTAATGCATCTATAAGGAAGTACTATAAGCAAGCTTGAAATTCAGTGTATGTCATTTCGCCAAAGTGTAAACAACTTTGTTTTACATAGCATTAAACATGTTGGATTTTGTGCCAAAGAAACTGTATTTGCTGGGAATTTTACTGAACTACCTTATTCAAAAGAAATCTGCAGCTGAAGCATGCAGAATTCTTGTTGAGACTTACAGTGACCATGCTCTGCCAGAAAAAATTGTTTTAGATGCTTCAAAAATAATGATCTTAATGTAAAAATAAAGAACACTCTGGCACACCAAAAAAGTTTGAAGGCAAAGAATTGGAGGTATTACTTCATGTAGACTCATGTGAGGCACAAGTTGAAGTTGCAGAATCATTAGGATTTGATCACACAACAGTTTCAAAATGTTTGAAAGCATTAGGAATGATTCAAAAGCAAGGACATTGGGTACTGTACGAGTTGAAGATGAGAGATGAAGAAAAGGAAAGTTGTTGTGATTTAAAGTGAATACACTATGATAACCCTAAGTGTATAAGATCATGGGGTAAGCCCTGCTATGTATCAACATTGGAGGCAAAACCGCATATCCATGGTTTAAAGATTCTGCTCTGCATTTGGTAGGATCAGCTGGGTGTAGTTTATTATGAGCTGCTGAAACCAACCAAAACCATTATGGGATATTGCTATCAACTACAATTGATGCGTTTGAGCTGAGCATTGAAAAAAAAAATGGCTGCTATATGAGCAAAGACATGACAACACTAGGCCATATGTTGCAAAATGGAAAACTTACTTGGAAACGCTTAAATGTGAAATCCTACCCCACCTGCCATATTCACCAGACATTGCTCCATCTGATTATCACTTGTTTCAATCGATGGTACATGGCCTGGCTGAACAGCACTCATTCTTATGAAGACGCAAAAAAAATGTGTCAACTTGTGGTTAGCCTCAAAAGATGTATTGTTTTACCAATGTGGAATTCAAATACTTCCAGAAAGATGGGAAAAAGTAATGGCTAGTAATGGACAATACTTTCAGTGACATGTTTCTTACTAATTTTTGTAAATAAAACATGACTTTTTATGAAAAATCAGTAAGAACTTATTCAAGGTCCTGGTTTACTATGGTTTACACCTCTTTTTCAGGGGCTTCAGCTATGAGCACTGAGGAATTAATGATAACACTGGGCAATGAATAAACCTGAAATTTTTAGTGCAGTTGAGGAAAACACAAGCACTTAAAATATTTCAGCAACGCTATAGAAACAACACAATGTTGCATACATGTGTCTTTAGGTGGCACAAAAGGTTCAAAGAGGGGTATGAGGAGGTGGAAGATAATTGCAGGAGAGGAAAGCCATCAACAAGTAGGACTGAGGTTAACATTGAGCAGGGAAGGCAGGTAGTGCGTGGCGGTCATCTGTTGACTGTTTGAATGATCACAAGTCAGCTAGGCATGAAAAAGGACAGTGTTTGGAAGATTAGCATGTAAGATTTGGGCATGTAGAAAGCCTGCACACAAATGGTGCCAAGGCTGCTGAATCATTCAGCAGCCTTGGCAGAAGGATCACTGCATGTAGTGTATGTCAGGACATAACTGAATATCTTCAAACTGAACCAGACTTGCTTCGTAGAGTCATTACTGGTGATGAGACAATTTTTGAGTATGACCCAGAAATGAAGTGTCAGAGCTGTCAGTAGAAGTGTCCAACATTGCCTTGGCCAAAGAAATTCATGTTAATCATGTTCTTCGATGTGAGAGGCATCATCCACAGTGAGATCTTGACACAGGGCCAGACAATCAATCATAAAGTCTACAAAGAGATTCTGCAGTGTTTGCTTTTGCTCGGTGTGCAAGAAGAGGTAAGAGTTATAGCAGGACAAATCATGACTGCTTCATCAAAACAATGCATCCACTCACAACACCCTGAGCATCCAACAGTTTCTTGCCAAAAAGAACATCACCATTCTGGAACATACTCACTATTCACCTGATTTTGCTCCATGTGACATTTTTCTTTTCTTTAAGCTCAAGCAGATCACCAAAGGGACCCATTATGAAGGTGTGTAAAGCCATGGAGCAGAGGGGAATCCAAGAAGACTCTTTCCAGCAATGCATAGAAGCATGACAGAGAAGGATGGAAAAGTGCATTAAACTCAAGGGAGGTTACTTTGAAGGGGAAACCATTTAGTTTGTTGTTTGGAATTGAAATGTGACACCAGACCCATTATTTCCAGATAGATCTTGTATATAGCCTCCTACTAGACAATATGCCTCTATTCAGCCACAAGGCAGGCCTCTCTACATGTTATAGCCTCCTACTAGACAATATGCTTCTATTCAGGCACAAGGCAGGCCCCTCTATATGTTATAGCCTCCTAC